TATGGGACCTGAAGTTCTTGATGAGGTATGCCTGCTTCTGGAAGTTTTTATGGAAACAGAATGAAAACTGACACTTGGGGGCAGAGAAAGTGACATTTGTACATAGTATTTACTAGAAAGATTTTACAAGTGATGCATTTACATTAAAGAAGAAATGACAGCTTTTGAAAAATCAGGGGAGTCTGTGTTAAACTGTAAGCAGCAGGCTCAGGAAGGGAAAGAGTAATCCTGATCCATTAGGATCCAAGTGCTACTGCTGCTAAGAGCTCAACCAACTGTCTGCACTTGATCAGAGTTGCTTTTATTTCCTAAATGGCTAAAATAGCAACTCTGCTTCTGCATGACTGAAACCATTTTCTCAGAAAATATAGCATGTGGTCACTGGAGTGGTTTCTGGGATTTTAAACCTCTTAACACCTTCCCTAAGGAGAAGACAAGATTGTAAACATGAGCTTTCCTGCCAGGCCCTGAGTGATGGCTGGCTGTTGCCTTTGCACCCCTGTGAGGGGAGGCCAGCACAGGAGCTGCACTCTGGGCTTACTACAGCCCTGTCAATGTGTAACTTGCCAGCAGTGCTGCTGCTCTGTTTTCTCAAAGCAACCTCTGAACTACTTTGGCATATATGGCTAAACCTGAGGTACAGAATAACTCAAACACAACGAAATTTGTGTTGTAACAACCCCTGAAGCAACTGTGCCTGGGTGGTGGGTGCTGGACTTCCCTGGCAGGCTGTGTTCCCATAAATCCTGGCTGTGCTCAGTGCTGCTGGGGCTGGGAAGTCTAACACAGACCAACACATCCCACAGTGCACAGCAAGTCACTCCTCACTCACATAGATCCTCACTGAAATTGTCAGATAAGACTTTACAGATATAGATCAGTGCAAGCTGTACTAAACTGCTTTTTTTTTTCCCCCTTTTTCCCCATTTGTGTAGGAATCTTGCCCTTGGGGGAGGCTTGCTGCTGCTTCTGGCTGAGTCCCGCTCGGAGGGGAAGAGCATGTTTGCTGGTGTCCCCACCATGAGGGAGAGCTCCCCAAAGCAGTACATGCAGCTGGGGGGGCGTGTGCTGCTCGTCCTCATGTTCATGACACTGCTACACTTTGACATGAACTTCTTTTCCGTAAGTATCTCAGCATTAAAGTGTGAGTTGAGCAACTAGAATGTAGCACCAGTGCCCAGGTGGGCTGCAGGATCTGCTCAATTGAAATCTCTAAGTAAAATTTGTGGTGGTGTTCACAGGGGTTCCAAGATGAAGGAAGATATGAGAATCTTGACTCCATGTTTCAGAAGGCAGATTTATTATTTTATGATCTATATTATGTTAAAAGAAAATGCTATATTAAAACTACACTAAAAGAATAGAAAAAAGGATTTCATCAGAAAGCTTAAAAGGAATAAAAAGGAATGAGAATAAAATCTTGTGACTGATCAGAGAGTCTGAGACAGCTGGACTGTGATTGGTCATTAATTAAAAACAACTACATGAGACCAATCACACATCCACCTGTTGCATTCCACAGCAGCAGATTAACCATTGTTCACATTTTGTTTCTGAGGCCTCTCAGCTTCTCAGGAGAAAGGATCCTAGCAAAAGGATTTTTCATAAAATATGTCTGTGACAAAAATTAATACTTTAGAAAATACTATTGGGTTATCTGTGCCATGACAACTGAACTTATCCAAGCTCTGCATCTATTTAAAAACTCTGCTCTGGTGTATCTGTTTTTATTTTATTTTGATGTTGGTGTAACTATTTAAGAACTGTATAAGTAAATGGCTTTTTTCATGGCTTTTTTCCTTGCAGATTCTGCAGAACATTGTGGGCACAGCCCTGATTATCTTGGTGGCAATTGGCTTCAAGACTAAGCTGGCTGCCTTGACTCTGGTCATCTGGCTCTTTGGCATCAACATCTACTTCAATGCCTTCTGGACCGTCCCAGCCTACAAGCCCATGCACGACTTCCTCAAATACGATTTCTTCCAGACCATGTCTGTCATTGGAGGGCTCCTCCTCGTGGTTGCACTGGGTCCTGGTGGAGTCTCCATGGATGAGAAGAAAAAAGAGTGGTAACAGGAATAGCAACACTTCTTGGGACATACTGTACTAAAGTCCAGAACTGATTCTCTATGGATTCAACAAAAACTGCCAGCATTTTACACGTACATGCCCCCTTCCTATAAAAGGCACAGATGTTTTGAATTTGATTTACTGTGGCACCAGTAATACAATAGATAAAATCCTATTTCTTCAAGGAATGTTGCCTAGGCTTATTCTAACTTCCTAGATTTGGAACTAACCCAAGGAAACCTGCATTTTGCTGATGCTTCAGTGAATTGCAGTAGAACAGTTGCTGTCTGGAATGTCAGCAATGTCTTAAAATTTGCAGAAAGGTGAGCAGATACAGCTGGATCATTCAGTGTGATGTTGGGTTGTAGCTATAACTAAAAAAGTGGATCCCCTTTCTTGCCCTTATCAAAACTGTCCTGTGCATAAGGAGTTCCATGCTGGTTATAGCATTGCTTATCAAGGTGGAAAGCAGCATCAAAAAAACCCCAGAAAATCACTGTTATTTTGCTGCTCAGAGGCCTGTAATTCCCTTTTGTTCAGCAGGGAAGGGTCTTTCCTGCTCCTGAACAGAAAGCAAAAAGAAAACCCTGGAAGTAGTTGTACTCCTTTCTGGGTAAGAAAAGGGAGAGGGTTTTCTAACATGTCCCAGTTCTGCCCTTGAGGGGAACAAGGGGAAATCCTGTATTGTTAATCATGAATCCTGTATTGCTAATCAGATTTAAAGGAAGTGGGGGAGATAATCCTGAAGAGACAGAACATTAGATTCTGTGAAAATTCTGTGCCAAAAGAATTCTTTATTCTACATTCTTTCCCCAAAAGTTGCCCCTCCTGAATTCCCAAGAAGGGAGCCAAGTTGTGCTGCAGGTTCCCTAATAAAAGCTCCTTTCTGCTATTAACCAGCTTCCATCCATATATACCCCAAATTCATATTTGAATTGCAGGTTAATGGTGAAAAATGTCTTGAGAATTACAGAAACTCCCCTTTTCTGTGCACTCAGTACTTGCCAGATGAGAGCAGTCAATCTCCTAATCTGTAGTCTTTGCTTCTTAGATTCACTTCTGTCAGTCTCTTGGCTGGAGGAGTCCCAGCTGACTGAAGAGCTCTCCAGGACAGAGAGCTCAGAAATCCTCCTCTGCCACCTCACAGCACCCTGGGCTGTGCAGGGTGCAAGTGTGGAAATGGCTCCTGTTCCCAGCTCTGCAAACGGTTCTAGCTGAGGAATGGGAGTGCAAAGCCTGGGCAGTGGAGAAGCAGCCAGGGGTGAACCTTCCCTGGGAGGAGCTGAGGAGGGTGAGGAGAGGAAGGCCCTGTTTGGCTTCTCAGTGCCACGACCTCTGTGCCATGACCATGCTCAGTGCTGCTCAGGGGAGGCTTTGTGTCCTCTCTTAGTCAACTAGGTGTGAACCTGTTTCACTAGATTGTGGAAGAATTCTAGACAGCATGAGCCCTACCACCTTCCTGCCATTACACTGATTCCTTGCTCTGTTGCCTCCCCTCTTTGTTCAAGGAGGAATTCAGCTGAACATCTCCAGTGGGAGCTGTTCCCCAGGGTCTCCTGATAAGGACACTCACCTGGACAGTTCAGTTAAACAGCTGATTTTTAGGAGAGAAAACTGGGCTGAAAGAACTAATGCAAAATAGAAGAGCACTGTTGAAAGTTCAACCAGTGATTTCATCATCTTAAGGGGATAATAGCCTCTGTAAGGGCAAGATGTGCTGCTGCTGGAGGAAGCCAGTTGCTATCCCCTAATAATTAATAATTAGGGTTGGAAGGGACCTCTGGAGATCATCTAGTCCAACCCCCGTGTCCAGATTGATGGGAGGGGAATTCAGCATTAAGGTCAGGTCACTGATGGCTTTCTTTTCAAGGAAGTTTTGCAAGAGAAATCTTCACCTCAAAGTGTTCTGTGTTCCTGACTCTTCCTGGCTGAACACACTGGTCCTTTCAGTGCCAGATCTGCAGCACAGGAGCTTTCACTGTTCCTCTGCAGGTCTTACAACGGTTCTAGACTGATCAAGGCAGCCACTCTCACATACCTGAACTGCTGTTGATGTTCATAGTATTTATAAATGACACAAACTACTCCTGCAAGTAGCCCTTTGTCTTTCTCAACTTCCTTGTGTCCTGTCTAAGGAGCTGGATGACAGACTAGTCTGAAACATTGGCCAGTTTCCTCTGCAGAAATCAAGTCCCCTTTCCAACACAAGACCCTAGAAAAGGAACTGTTGCTGTCCCCTGCAGCAGGAATATTTCAGTATTCCAGGGACACAGTTAGGTGGAGGGCATTATCAGATACTTCTAGGCAGCACAACGTGCAGATTTATTAACTGTGAGTCCTGATACAGAAGATTCTGGTTTCCTACATACACTGCTGTACTTGTGCATCTCCCAGAAATTCAGTGACCTCTCCCCGTGGCTGAGAAGCTCTCACAAGCAGGATGTCAGCTACCAATTGGCTCTGCAAAGTGTTCTGGAATTCATTCTGAATATATTTTTGCTTTCTATGTGGAAAAAAAAAAGAAATAAGTATAAATTCTCATTTTATGCTGTATTTTGTACCTTAGTTGTGTTTGAAAATGTTTTGATTTTTGAAAACAATCAAAATAAAACAATGGCATCTTTGTATCCACTTGGGGTGTGTGGCTGGTGATGCTCCTGTGCTTTCCTGCCTAAGAAAAACCAGCTTTCTGTAAAAAACTCAGCTGAGCTGCTCTGCTTTCCTGCCTAAGAAAAACCAGATTTCTGTAAAAAACTGAGCTCTGGACTTGACTACAGCAGCCATCCTTCCCTCAGTGTGGGGCTGGATTGAAGCTCTTGGAATGCAACTTACTTCCAGCCCATGATTCCCCTCCACACCTGAAACAGAACTGGAAAGAGCAGACACTTCATCCTGTGCTCCCACTGGAATTGTTACACAGCAGACTTCAGCCAAGTATTTATCATAAAATTTATTTCCCATTGGTTGCCTTCTTGAAGTTTTTGGGTTTTCGGTGATGGCTCTTGAATTTCTTCTTTAAAGGGCCTGTCTGTTTCTGAAGGGAAAAATAAAAGTTAATCAGCTTATTTCCAACATGCAGATCAAGCCTTGCCTGAGACAGCTTAAACAGAAACTGAGTGTGATCTCCTTCAACAGCCAGAATGAGCCCAAGTCTGCCCATGGAGCCAGGATCCTGCAGCTCAGCAGCCCTTTCTGATGGTTTCATTAGGTACAAACTGACAGGCTCCCTGCAGCAATGAATCCTAACTTTATCCAGCCCTGACTTTCTACTTTGACACATTTATAAAGTAAGGCAGTGGCAGAAAAATGGTCTAGAGGGACTCTAACTGCAAAACAGTTCAATTTTTTGGTGTATTGGGAGAACAATTACAGAACCCACAGGACACACATCATCTTTCCTTCTCCAATGGTGTGGGGCAGGATCCTAGCCTAGATGAGCTCTTTGTACAGGCAGGAACATCCCTCACTCCCTACCCAGAATAAACATTGCCATAAATACGACAGGAATTCACACCTTGGGATGCAAGTCACTGTCTGGCACACAGGGAAAAATTATTCTGAGCAGCTTTGCACCTTCTGCTGGTTCCCAGACAGGAATAGCTGGCACACCTACAGGCTGGGATCCCAGCTCCACAGCCCCTGCTGCTGCAGGCACAGGATGACTCCCACCTTTCCTCTCTTGCCAGCTGCTCTGCTGCTGTCCCTCCTTGCCCCGTGCTCTCCGTTCTGCTTGGTGCCATCGTCCTCGCTGTCTGTCACAAAGTCATCGCTGCCCTTTGTGCTCTCTGCAGCTGCTGGGTTTTTTTCTGTGAAGAGTGCAGCTAAAAAAGATTCAGCTCAAAATCAGTTCCCTGTGCACACAGGCTCTGCCTCCCCTCACTTTGCTTTAAAGCTGCTTCCAGTCACCACGTGTCACTACTGAAATACTTGGGAAATAAACATGCTGGTGTTTATTGGAAATGTGCCTTGGTGCTCTTTCTGTTCCCATTCTGGGAATGTCAGCACAGGTGGTGCCACGTGTTACAAGATGGACTTGCACCTCCAGATCTAAGTCAGGAGAACGGCCTGACCACCTTCTGTCAAGGATTTGCTGAGAAACATGGAAAGTGGAGATTCTTAAAACAGCAAATCCCAGCAGATTTTGTATCCCTTCCCTCACACCTTGCATGATCCAACTTGTTATTAGCATTAACTGTTTCTTATTTGGTGGAGGTAAGCTTTTCCAAAACCCAGGACTCCCAAATGATGAAGTCAGGTGCCTCTGGCACACCGGCATCAGCAGCAGTGTAAAGAAATCGGGAGACAATTAACCAAGCAACTCCCTTGAGGACATGGATGTCACCAAGGCTCTCACTCACGTGGGTACAGGTCACTCATGCTGTCGTCTGTGTCTTCTCCATCCTCCTCGCTGGATTTTGGCTCCCAGAACTCCTCTTTCCTGTGACCCTGCCTGCTCCCATTTGTTTGGTCATCAGGGTGCTGTGCCCGCTGCTTCTTCTGTCTCAGGCAGGCAGGGACGTACTCCACTCCTTCCCTCTGGCATTCCTCATCTGAGAGAGAGGGTCAGGCAGCACTGAGCAGCTGCCCAGCCCCTCAGTCCTCCCATTCCCAGCTCAAGCTTGTAGGAAATGCAACTCCAAAGTCCAGCATGCTCCAAATATACATCTACAGTGACACTATGGACCAAGGAAGATGTTAATACAGATCACACACTCCCTGGGGGAGTTTCACAGCTAATATTCTTACAGAAGGATATTCCAAGGTATTTGCTAGAAGCCAATTGCCCCTTTCATCTGAGACCTTCCTTTCTAGCTGAGTAGGACACATAGTAACGCACTGCTGTCAATTTAAACAAAGCTGTCCCACCCACTTCAGAGATAGGCTGGAATCTCAACAGCTCAGGAAAGAAATGCTGCCTGGTACAGCTCCAGAAAAGCTACTTACACGTTTTCAGGGCCTTCTGGTAGCGCTTCCCTTGGACATGACGCAGGACATGCTCTGGAAGCTTGTTGATGTGTCTGAGGGTGAGCTTGCAGAACAGCTGGTGTCTGACAGACACAGAAAGGACCAGCAACAGAGTTAAAGTGTGCATGACTTCAGAACTTTTCACTTACAAGCATTGCGAAGTTGATAAATACTTTATAAAGCCTTTCCCAGTCTCCCCAAATCCATAAAGACCTAAGAGCTTTGTAAAGCCCAACCACTTCATGTCTGAGATTAAACAAAGTGTAAAGCACAACACACAGGAGGGAGAATACGTACAAATTCTTCGTGCTGGGCACTATGTGGGGCTCAAACGTGCCATAGTCGAACTCCCTGGCTGCCTTTATGAGCCGCTGGTACTTCTTACCGCTGGTGTAAGCCTGCAGCTCCGACAGGCGGCAGGGCAGCTCGTGTCCTGTCAGCCTGCACCTCACCTAAAAACACATTGATGGTCAGGACACCCAGGGGTTTATCCCACTGAATGTCAGAATTCATTGGGTTGGAAAGAACTTCTGAGATCATAGAGTCCAACCTGTGACCGATCCCCACCTTGTCAACCACACCATGGCACTTAGTGCCACGTCCAGTCGTTCTCCACCACCTCCCTGGGCAGCCCCTTCCAATGCCTGATCACCCTTCCCGCATCCATACCCGGGCTGGGGAGGGCAGGACAGACCAGGGCCGGACAAACCCCTCG